GGTGGGGCTGGGGTGGGGGTAGAAGATGAGAAGCACCCACGCCTCCTGGAGGCGGTTGAGGGCAGAAGGCATGGTCCACTACGGGCCAGTGTGGGAGCCGCTTCTGAGACATGAAGCTGTAGAGACCACGACGTAAGCTCAGGGAGCTATGATAATGGGGAGTTCATGTTTTATAGCATCTTGCATACTACGTTGCCCAATGCTTGCTATTAAGATGAACAACGTTTTAGCACTTAAAATGAGTAGGTTACCTAATTCAGAATATTACCTGCCCACTTCTTACGAAGAAAACAAAAAACGGAGGCATTTCTTTTCAGCTTCGACACAGCACTCGGCTCCTTAATGAAAGGTTGGAGACGTAAGTCCATCCAAAGGCGTCTCAGAAGACAGGCCGGTGACCCAGGTCTGAAAGAGCAGCCATGGGAAGCCCATGGTGCATGTGTCTGCCCTGGCACACATGGGGTCCCCTGCTCGATGGCACCCACGAGCATGTGTGTACTCTGACACGCAGGGGATCATCATGATTCATCGCCTGCTCAATGGCACCTGGGTTGTGTCCATGTTGCCTAATTCCCACGCAGAATGTGAGACCGCCTACAGTGACAGGCTTGTAGCCCAAGACCGTGAAGCCAGAAACGTGTTTGAGGAACACAAGCCCCGAGGATAACGGGGTTCCCCAAATAGTATGCTGTCTAACAGCTGACGAATGAGAAAACACCTTTGTCCTTCGACCGTGTCTAAGGAACCAAGCAGCATATTGCACTGGGAAAACCTGCTCTCAGAGACCTTTGTGAAGTGCTCCAAAGCAGAGACGCCTCTTTGAGGATGAAGGCGCGCCTGGATCTTGTCGACCAGCTCCTGTGCATTTGAGAGCCGGGGGGGGTGGAGAAGGGAGCCCGAGGAAGCATCGCAGCCTTGGAATAAAGTTGGAGCTGCCAGAGGAACAAACAAACCTGCCTTGGGGAAAATGCAAGGGGGCTTCAAAACTCCATGGGAAGACACCATTAGCTCTCGTTGCATTTTTTCCGTGAAGTTGTGGATGCCCCTGCACAGCTGGAATGATCTTCAGCAGCAACAATGGTGAGACGCGATTCCTGGTACTTTGGACATGCTCTCAGGAAGAGCCAGACTCTGGAGAAGGACGGCATGCAGGAAGAGCGGAGGGCCAGTGGGGACAAAACCAGGGAGACTAGTCTCAAGCTGGATTGGCACAGTGGCTGCAGCAATCGCTTTCGGCTCGGCAACGACTCAGCTCGGCACCGGGCTGGCAGTGTCTGGTTCCGCTGTATGTAGACGCACCAGGAGTTCCAGTGGCCCAGTGAGTCGGACAACAACACTGTCTGAAGGACATTTAGGGAAGGCAGACACATATTAACCAGGGAAGAGGGGAAGGCAAAACTATAGCTAGTTAGTTAGGTAAGTAGGCAAATGGTGCCAATGAAAAAATAAAGTGTTCTCAATTGGACCGTTTACACCTTAGGTGCTTATTCTAAAGGAGCTGTGAAAGGGAGGTTTATTGTGCCAACCTGGCCAATGAACACGTGGGATTAATTGGAGGGTGAGCCTCGCCTTTCTTGTCTCTTGCTCTTTGACAATCAGACCTGTGTGCAGTCGGCTTAGCTGGTTCTCTGCCTCAGTTTGCAAGCTACACTACCTGTGGGACACACCAGCCATGCACTGTCGCTGCAGTTTGAGGTTCCTTCAAGACCTGCTTCACCACGCTACCGGAGTATACATCCCTTGAGCTGGGGACTGTCGGGCCCTGTCATCTGGCTGACTGTTGGTGACCTGCCTTGCTGTTTGCTGCCTATGGCCGGTAGCCCGAAATGCTCTACAGAAACTATCTGGCGGTCCTCAAGACTTGAAGGGCTGCCAGTATATTAGCTGTCTCATGGGAATGAGTTGCACTGAGCCTTTTGTACTGCTTTACAGATTAGTTAACTGTTTATTTATTATTAAATATATATAAAATCATTAGTGTCCTGGTTTTGTTTCTCTAGAGAACCTTGTCTAACATAGGAACTAAATGACATGCTGAATACAGTTTTTCAAAGATATATTGAAATACAGACCTCTAGAACTCAAAGTCTCCTTCATATCAAACCTCAATAAAATCCAGCACAACCCACAGGTATTTGTTAATTCAGGAAATGGTGGTGGTGGTAGAGGTGATAGACGTGTTGCTGGTGGTGGGGGTGATGGTGGAGGTGATGGAGGTGGAGGTGATGGAAGTAGAGGAAGAGGTGAAAGTTATGGTGGTAGAGGTGGAAGTGGTGGAGGAGATGGAGGTGGAGGTGATGGAGGTGGAAGTGAAGGTAGAGGTTATGGTGGTGGTAGTGAAGGTTGTGGAGTGGAGGTGGAGTTGGTGAAGGTGATGGTGATGGTGAAGATGGAGGTGGAGGTGGAGGTGGAGGAGGTGGTGGAGGAGGGGGTGGTGGAGGTGGAGGTGGTGGTGGTGGAGGTAGAGGTGGTGGAAGTGGAGGTGGAAGTGAAGGTAGAGGTAATGGAAGTGGAGGTGTTAGAGGTGATGGAGGTAAAAGTGGGGTTGGTGATGATGGAGGTGGAGGTGGAGGTGATGGAGGTGCAGGTACAGGTGGCTTTGGTCATGGAGGTGGAGGTGGTGGTAATGGTGTTGGAGGTGTTAGAGGTGAGGGAGGTGAAGATCGAGGTAGAGGTGCAGGCGGATTTGGTGGTGGAGGTGGAGGTGTGGTGGTGGTGGAGGTGGAGGTGGAGGTGGAAGTGATGGAGGTAG